CCTGATCTGTGCTGTGACTCTTTTCCTCAGTCGCGCCCCAAGCCAGCCGTTGTGGATTTCCTCGCCCCCTTCTCTCCGTTGCGGGGCCTGGTTCTGCCTGTCGCCCAAACCGGTGCTTTGACCTTTTGGGACATCGACCCTCCACCCTTGCCTTGCTTCGTGTTTCCGTTCGACGGCAGTGCTCCTCTGGCAGCTGCATCACGCCACGTTGCTTGGCTCGAGGCGACGACTGACGCCGTCCTCCAAGCGGTGCAGGTGTCCTTTCAACACCCGGTCAGCATTCGGGCGCCACCCGCTGCGCTACGGTGTCTCGAGCCTTTGACCTCCTGGCTCCGGGATGGGGGCTTTTATTTAACAGCTGACGGCATCGCGTCCTGTCCGCGCTGAGGCCTCGCTGTTTTTCGTTTCACCTGAATTCGCTTGCTAGAGGTGCGTCGGATTACGACTCAAACCTGCCCGAAGAAGAAGATATGTACCATACTGTATTGAGTTTCTGCATGTTATATTGTATGTACACATGTACATGGTATTCTATTTGTATAAGCTTCCGTATAGTCTACACTCAGTCTACGCATGTACTAGTCAACACAAGATGCACCACGAAAACTGCTTGAGGCAGCAGGTCAGAAGACGCGACACAGCCGTGACCATGAAGTGGATGCGGAGAGCTCCGTTGTCTGCTTTGTGGATGGGCGAGACGTGGCGGGGTCGTTCGTTCAACCAACGTTTAAGATCCTTCATGAAAGGACCCTTTGATGTCATCATAGGTGCCATCGTTATTTTAAACATCTCATTTATGGTCTTACGCACCGAGTGGAGCGGCAACTTGATTGACCAGAGCTTGGGACTGTCAGAGCCAGCCCCAAGCTGGTTTTCACCAGAATTCTTCTCAGTTACAGAGTACGTCTTCTTCGTTGTCTTTCTTTTGGATGTTGTGGCGAAGGTCTGCATCCTGAAGCACGAGTGGTACTATTCTCGTCGCGAGGGCATTATGTACCTCAACATCTTCGATGCCATGTTGGTCGTTGTGAATTTTGTAGAGCTGATTCTGCTTCCTTCAATTTTGCAAGATGGGACTGGAGAGCTGCGAATCAATCATGTCCGTGTCATCAAGTTATTGCGGATGGGCCGGACCCTAAGAATAGTCAAGACATTGTCCATCTTTCTGCCGCTGCGTGTTCTGGTTGGAACATGCATCGCAAGCTTGGGGGCTTTCTTCTGGTCCCTTATTCTTCTTCTCGTCTTGAAGGTTACCTTTGCCTTGATTGTCAGCCAGGCATTACAGTCTTGGATTCTCGACGAGACCCAAGATATGTCAGCGCGCCTACAGATCCATGCAATGTACGGCAGTTTTTTGAAAGCAACATACACCATGTTCGAGATAACGTACAGTGGCGGATGGCCCACGCTTGTGCGCCCAGTTCTCGATCTCGTCGATCCGATGTATGCAGCAGCATTCCTCCCGTATGTGACCCTGGTGGTTTTCGCTGTCCTGCGCATCGTAACAGCACTTTTTCTGAAGGAGACGCTTGAAAGTGCTGCGCAAGATGCCGAGATAGTAATCGAGGAGACGCGACGAACTGCCTTAAAATATCAAGAGAAGTTGGTCGAGTTGTTCAACTACTTCGATGATGATGCAGACGGGCACCTGTCTCCAGAGGAGTTCATTGAAGCCATGAGTTTACCCAGTGTGCAGCAGTACTTGAGGTTTCTTGACGTCGGTGTTCGTGATGTGCGGCCTTTGTTTGACATCTTGTCCGATGGCAATGGCCTCATCACAATCTCTGAATTCTGCAAAGGCCTGATGCAGCTTAAAGGACAGGCACGAGCTCTGGATATGGTTCTGTTGCAACATGATAGCGCCAAACTGCTCAGCCGATGCGAAGAGATCCTGAGTGTAGTTTCGAAAGATCACCAGACTGCGGGAGAGAGAGTCTCCAAAGATCAGAAGGCAGCTGTCACACCTGACGGACCGCTGGTACTCGGCACAGTCTGACCCCACTCCTCGTAATGCATGCCAAAAGATTGTGTCTGAGTGCTGCTATTTCCTTGTGCTCGCTGGTGCCTGAATCCTAATCCCCTAAACCCTAAACCCTAAACCGAAAGGTTTCTGGAAGGGACCGCCTGATTCCCGCATCGTCTCCTTTGCAGTGCTCGCGGTGGTATGCAGAAGGTTAAGGTTTAGTTGCTTGGGTCATCAGATTGCTGTGCATGCGTTGAATCCGGCATTGTGGGGGACATGACAGCACATGCTGCAGCCAATATGAAGGCAAGCTTCGTAGCCCTCCAAAACGGAGGCCAACTTCACACAAAGTGGTGACAGTGACAGCAAGTAGGTCGGTGTAGATGCCCGTGCCCAGCTGGCATGGAGACGGGAAAATCCCTGCGCCTGAAAATCGCTTGGAAGCTTGGCTGCTGGCCGCGCTGGACTGCAAGTTTGCACAACAGGAAGCACTTCTGCGCGACTTGCTCAAGTCGCCTGGTCTGCTCCCATTGGGAAGCTCCCTTGGATTGGCGAGCTCCGTCTCAGTAGGGGTGGGCGACAGCCGCGCACCAGGCAGTCGGGGCCTAGACAAAACCGACAAAGATGACCACGACTTGCACGTGGAGTTTGTGAGTTCCGATGTGTCACCTAGACCCGAAACACCAATTTCAGATCCTTCCTCGGATGCCAAAAGCCGGTTTTTCGGGAGAGCCGCCAACACACTTGGTGCCCACGTCATGAAAGAGAAGTGGGCAAAGGACGTTGTTGCGAAAACGGTTAGCAAGCTTCTCTAAAGACCAGGGTTTTAAGCTTTAGTATCTCCCGGGCTTCGTATCTCCTTGGGAGCCAGCAGCTCCTCGCAGGACCCTCCCCTCAAATCTTTTGTCAAGAACCAGATGGACGTTCTGATTGGTGCGGTGGTCGTCGTTAATGTATCTTTCATGGTCTTCCATGCTCAGTGGATGGGGGCACAGGCAGATCTCACTGTGGGAGTTAGTGACCAACCTTGGATGGGTCCATCGCAAGAACTTTTCGATATTTCAGAGTATGTATTCTTCAGCTTGTACCTCTTGGATGTTGGCATACGAGTGACAGTGCTTCGGCGTGAATGGTGGTACGACCCGCTGCGTGGGCGAATGTATTTAAATGCCTTTGATGCTATTCTTGTGTTTGTGAATTTCCTCGAGCTGGTAGTTGTTCCTGGAATTTTGGGCGATGAAAGCCAGATGAGCTCTAGCCAGATACGCCTGATAAAGCTGTCGCGTGTGGCAAGAACGCTTCGCGTAATCAAATCGCTGTCCTTGTTCAGGCAGTTGAGGCATCTTGTTGGGACATGTATTGCCAGCATTGGTGCCCTGTTCTGGTCTATTGTTTTGATTTTGCTTTGCCAGCTGACCTTCGCTTTGATGGCCTGCCAAGCGATGCAGCCTTTTATTCTGAATGAAGCGGCTGACCTAGACACACGCCTGCTGATGAACAGCTGGTATGGCAGCTTTTTCAAAGCAATGTACACCATGTTTGAGATAACGCTGAGCGGGGGATGGCCTCTTCTAGTGAGACCTGTAGTGGAGCTGGTGGATGCCTGGTACGCGGCCCTCTTCCTGCCCTATATAGCAGTCGTGGTTTTTGCTGTCTTGAGGATAGTCACTGCCCTGTTCATTAAGGAGACGCTGCAAACTGCAGCTAATGATGCAGAGATGGTGATTGAAGAGTCTAGGTCAACTTCTTTGCAATATCAACGTCGCCTCGAGCAGCTTTTTCGCTTGGTTGATGACGATGGGGATGGTCACCTGACACTCGATGAATTTCGTGCTGCTGTGAATATGCCCAGTGTGTCCCAGTACTTGTCATACTTGGATGTGACGGTGCGGGATTGCGAGCCTTTGTTCGAGATCCTTGCAGAAGGGGATGGCCTCATCACGATTGCCGAGTTCTGCACGGGCATCATGCAGTGGAAAGGCCAAGCAAGAGCACTGGACATCGTGATGCTACAGCATGTGCTTCGATGGAGATCTTCAGCCAAGAGTTTCTTCGAGTTGGGCCGAAATCCCTCCTTAGACCCTTAGTTGACCGTTGGCTGTGCTTAAGAATCTTCATCCCACTGATCAGGAGAATGCCAAGCTTCTGAGTGAGTGCCAGCAGATTCGCCGCAGTGTCTCCGCAATGTCGAAGGCCTTTCGCCGCCGTGCCTAGGTGCTGCGCAGGATGTGGAAGATATCGAATCCATACGCATCGGTACGGCCTTTGAGGGTGGAGATAGGAGAGTTTTTGTCTAAACTCTAAACTTTCTATCCCCAGAACCCGTCAGCTGCTGTCGCGTTCCTGAGGTTCTGTGTCACAATGCCCTTTGCCAAGAAAGAAGTTTCAACTGACTCTCAGGATTTCTAAGTTGCGAGTGCTAAACCCACCTGGCCGTAAGCGAGTTTTCAATCGCACACGGCTCACGGCCATCGGTATTCATTAGAGACAGACTTGTGAACATCTTCTACTGCCCGCGAAGGCTCTTTTCTCTGTTTCGAAGGATTCAATTCACCACTTCAACAGAACTGAAGGCCCTCCAGGCGAGAAGCAGAGCCAAGCTATGTTGAAGAAGATTTATGTAGCCCCTCGTTACAAGTCCTCTCTTTTAAGTGGGATATTGATAATGTGGCGGTTCATCTTACGCAGGCTCTTGCAAAAAAGGGACGGGTTAATCAGACAGTCGGGGTCTAAAAGTGCATAGACGAGACACATTCCGACACAAGAGATGCCAGTTGTGGCATTTGTTGCGCTGAGCAAGATGCAAGCTACCCAAGGCGCCAGTGACATAAACGAGTACCGGTGTGAAGACATGGCGCAAGATTCAAGCGACGGAGTGCATAAGTTTCCTTCTCCCAACTTCGAAACGGTTCTGAAGTACCCCGGCTTTCTCCACTCGCCATATCGCCGCAAGCCGAGTCGGCGGCTAGGAACTTGCCGAGGACTCCGACGCCTTTCATGCGTAGACATCCCAGACCTTGATCCCTTCCACCTCAGCTGTAGAGCTCATCGGCTACTACATCCGGCTGTAAACGGGGTCTACTCCTATATGAATGGCGATGAGTCACCAGTCGGGCAAGATTGAACCGTCATATCCTGCGCGCCGAGGCTTTTCAGAAGCTCGATGTGCCTGGAGGTACTAGCTAGATACGAGGTTGTGCAGCTAGGATGAGCCAACTTGGGTGGCTACTAGCCGTCTGCGATGTAGGTGCACTGAAAATCTGATTGCGGTTCTGTTACGACGAATAGTTGAGCTTCGAGCCACGGGTCACTTGCAGTGTCTCGGCGGTGCTGTCTCACCCCGATGCATCAGACTGACTGCAACGAGGCGATTCGCAGCAGGCCTGTCGGATGCAAAACCGAGTAACTTGTGCAACTTTTGCCCGTAGCACATATAAGCCGTGGACATGATGAAGAAGAACGGTGACTGGTAGGCGACATGGTGAGCATTGTGGACCTCTTGGCTCAGAATCACGGTACTGTCGCCTCAAGGTGGTGGCTACAGGGCCTAGCTGCCGATAACGACGAGCCCACAAGCATGTACATGTAGCGCCTGCAGATTTTGCATTCTTGTTGTTGCTTTCCTAGGCAAACAGCGAAGTGGTTTTGACAAGCTAGATGCCTGTGCCTGCCGCGGATGGGTCGGACAAAGCTTTGAACCCTTTCGGGACATCTGGTGCGTTGCCGGATTCGGACCATGCGTGGCAGCTTGAGTTGACCACAGTCGTGCTGTCAACCTTGGACCGGAAGTTCTCTGAACAAGAAGCCCTCCTACGTGAACTATTGGCTCCAAGCACTGTGGAACTCTCTGGAGAGAGTTCTGTGGCTTTGGTGGAGAATGTCGAAGCGGTGAACTCAGCAGAGGCGATGCTTGAGTTGCGTCTCTTCCAATTCCAAGCCTTAAACACCCTGAACGACCCTAAGCTGCTACAGAACCCTTACTGTAGCTGTTGCAGTACCCCTCGTGGTAGTTGTGATAACAACCCTCCCTAAACCCCTATAAACCCTGAACCCTGCCATGCCTGCGTGAGTGAGTGTGTGAGTCGAAACCCGACAACCCTTATAGCAGGTATCCGAACCACCGGGTGATCCGGACGCAGCTGAGAGAAAGACTCGCCGCCTCCATACTGGGAGAACAGTCACAGCGCTTGGGGCGCAGGCAGGGATGACCCGCAAAGCCTAGAACGTTTAGCGTTTAGGGTTTAGGGGACTACAGCATACAATCAAAGCCCGTGCTGAAAAAGGGGACTACAGCATCGGCTCGTCTGCATCGAGCATGGCTAATTCATTACACAGGGGTCGCCAAACCTTGAGATAAAGCTGCGAGTTGTCATGTTGCGAAACGTCGTCCCCTAGTCCAGCCTCGGCGCAGCTTGATGAATCTTTCTCTGTCTGAGACAAATGTTAACGAAGAGCAGTGAATCGTCATTCGACTTCAGGGAGCCCTGAGGTCTTGTTGGGTTTTTTGGGTCGCATCATAGCTTGATCCTTTACCCATCAGCGGTTCTGCAAAAATGCATCATCCGCCTTGACCCAGCAGTGTAGCTTTAGGGCTTAGGCGCTGTCGAGGCTGACTTCCCTAGCCCGGATGCACAAACTTCTAATCATTCTAATCTTGGGGTTCATAGTATTCAACATCTTTTGGAAGAATATTTCTGTTCCAAAATGTTTAGTGAGTGGTAGCCGGGATTCTGCGTTCTTGCGCCGGCACAGGTGATGAGGGAGACGTGGGAGCCAGACCCGCCTTTAAAGGCCTTTGTGAAAGGTCCGCTGGATGTGTACGCCGGAATCGTAGTCATCATCAATGTAGCTTTCATGATATGGCATACGCAATGGACCGGATCCGCGGCCGATGTCAGTGTGGGTATACACGACGAGCAACCAACTTCGTTGTCACAAGAGTTTTTCGACATCGCAGAGTTTATTTTCTTTTGCTTGTATGTATTGGACGTAAGTGTTCGACTGGTCGTGCTGCGTGGGGAATGGTGGTATGATCGCCACCGTGGCAGGATGTATCTTAATGTATTTGACGCAGCCCTGGTTCTTATCAACTTCTGTGAGCTGATAGCTATTCCAGCGATAACGAGCACACGGGATGGAGACCTCCACGCCAGCCACATACGAATGATGAAGCTCCTGCGACTAGCGCGGTCTCTTCGGATATTCAAGACGGTGTCCATGTTTCGTCATCTTAGGAACCTTATTGGTACCTGTGTTGCGAGCTTCTTTGCTTTGATATGGTCTGTCGTGCTCCTGCTCCTCTGCCAGCTGGCCTTTGCACTGGTCATTTGCCAGGCCTTGCAAGGTGTAATTTTAGACGATGAGATCGACTTGGAGGTCAGACTGCAGATGAACAACTTGTATGGCAGCTTCTTGAAAGCGATGTACACCGTGTTCGAAATCACCCTGTCCGGTGGGTGGCCGCTGCTACTCGGTTCCGGTTAGCGAACTTGGTTTCAGTACGAGGACCGCATCTTGTCTTCCCTTGTGTATTCCATTATGGTAACTTCTAGACCCAAGTTCCAGAACAAAAGCCCAGGCTTGTTCGCCCGGTCGTGGAAACCGTGAGCCCCTGGTATGCCGCGCTGTTCTTGCCCTATGTAACGCTGGTGGTTTTTGCAATACTCAGAATTGTGACCGCCCTCTTCATCAAGGAAACCTTGCAGAGCGCAGAGAACGATGCCGAAATGATGATGGAGGATTCAAGGACCAGCTCCCAGCGGTATCAGAGGCGTCTCGAAGAGCTTTTTCACCTTGTGGATGACGATGGAGATGGGCACCTCACCCTCGAAGAGTTTCGCGCAGCTTGCAGTTTGCCAAGTGTGGAGCAGTACATGAGCTACCTGGACGTCACGTTGCGGGACTGTGAGCCGCTCTTTGAAATTCTGGCCGAGGGAGATGGCTTGATCACCATCACAGAGTTCTGCAAAGGTGTTATGCAATTGAAAGGTCTGGCCAAAGCCATTGACATTGTCATGCTCAAGCATGAGAACGGTAAGATCTTGAGAGAGCTTCAGAATGCTCGTCTGGTCATGGCCGCAGCACTGCCTCTCTCCACAAAGGTGCAGATGGTTCGGTAGCTAGTACTACTGGCAACCCGATGAGGCTTTGCTCTTTTCCGTCTGAGCATGCCGTGAGTGGAAAGTTTCACCTGCCAGTTTCCATGCGGGAGTGGGTTCTGCCGAGTCTCACGCCTCTCATGCCATGCGCGAATGTGGCGATTGTCACGTCCGGAGTTGCCGCCTGAGCGGAGGAAGTCCAGTTCAGCTTGCCGGAGTGTTTTGGGTGAGGCCCGAAATGCGGACGGGTTTAGGAACCTTAGACGCAGCCGCTTGCTCGCACCCCGCAGCTTTCGCAGGTTTCGAAAGCTAGCTTTCAATGCGAGGAGCGGTTCAGTGAAGCATAGTTTACTGTATGATGCTGCAATATACTCGGCATTTCGTCAAGCAGTTGGTTGCCATGGGCTTTGCCCGAGTCTAGTTCAGATGGCCCCGAAGAAGGGCAAGAAGGACATTGCATGACACCCTGTATTTTTTGGTTTTTGGTCAAGGAGGATCTAAACCCTAAACCCCGTGTATTTTATGGTTTTTGGTCACGGAGGCTCCGGTGTTCGTTCCTGCAGCGGGACTTTTGGTTTATAGGTGCTCCGAAAAGCCTCGCATAGGGTTTCTTTGGGTCCCTCAGGCCAATAACTTCTTGCATGGAGTGTAATTATATATAGATATATATGTATGTATGTATGTCTACTTACTCTCTTCCTATGCCCTCTGGGAAAAGCCTGCCGAGCCGAGGCAGGCCAAGCCAGACCCAGAGAAGGGCCCGGCCGTGCCAAGAAAAACAAACTCTCCACCTTGTTTACATCATGACCTTGACGAAACACGATAAAACATCGGAATCTCTGCTGTCTATTTCATCGCAGGAGGAGGAAGAGGTTGCAGAAGCACCAGTTGCACCAACCGAGCCTGTGGAGGAGGCTGGCAGGTTGGTAGACAGGTTTGAGTGCTACGGGGGTGGGAGAGGCAATTGTGGAAGCCTTTTGTGAGGCGTTTGTGCATTCTGGCACTTCTGTGAGAATCCTGTCCGGCTGTGGGCACAGGTTCCGAAACCTCGGAAAGTCTGGTCCTATGGCATCAACAACCACGCGCCATGGCAGCAAGCATGTGCTGTCGACATGGATGTCGTGCTGGAGTATGAGTAACCTCGTCCGCATAGGTGGACCACTTGGCTGCAGAGACATTGCAGGCGGAGTCCTGCTCTTCCCGCATCGGACAACTCTGGGTTGTGTAGGTTTAGCTTGCAAGGCAGGGTAAGGATCCGATCATGTCACCTTGAGAGCTTGAGACTCTTGTCGAAAGGCCTTCAAGGGCATTGGCGACTTCCGGCAGGCGAACGGCTCAAGTCCTGTCCTCTACGCGACTGCACTTGCTTTTTCGGCTCTTCCAGGACTTTGCCGGCTTGTGCGATGCGCTGGACGTCGTGGGCCATCATGCCCTCATGCCTGAGAAAGACTTGGAAGCTCCTCGCGAGGAAGCCTGGCGGGAGTTCAGTAGTTCTGTCCGCAGCGGTGGGAAGGAGTTGGCATGCAATGATCTCTTGAGCTCTGGAGCAGCATGAGCACGGGTTTGGCATCGAATCGATCTTCCCAGCTTCAGTTAGAGAAAAGCCATGTCGAGATGGCACATGGCTCAGGAACCCTAAGAAGCACACGATTCATATGATTTTTGTTCGTGCTCTCTCGTGGTTTAGTTGTCCAAATCCATAAACACCTGAGCCTCTCTGTGAGCCCAGCCAAGGCAGGCCCATCAGCCGTTCTGACACTGCAAAGCCAGCTGCTGGATCGTGCATCTATGTTGGTCATGAAGGTGCGCAGCACGAACCTCTCGGGGTCTGAAGAGATGCAAGGAGATGCAAAAGCAATCCCCCACGATGGTCTTCTGGAATCCGTTTGAAGGGTCTTCAGCCATGAAAGATAGGATTCCCATCTGCTGCATATGCTAAACTCTTTTTTGTCGCAGTTCTTGGCATCACGCTGAGTTGAGCTGCACAGCCACAGTTAGAGTTACGACGATGTTGTTCAGAGAGAGTTGACTTGGAAGGCAATTCTGCCAACCTCTCTGCGGCTTGGCTGCGAGAACCATCTTCACGAACAGTCCGATGGCCTAGAAGCTAGGTATAGACCTGTTGCTAATACGGGCACCATCCATCCTTACATATATATATATATATAAATATAATATGCATGCATGTATATATATACATATATATATATATGCACACATACTCACGCTTGTATAGCTTCGGATTAGGTGCCAGAGGTGTGCACCTTCCGCTTGAGGTTCTACTGTGAGTAAGCTGTTTCCTGGCAGCCTCGCCGCTCCGGCAGTGCGAGAGGGAAAAATCTATATACACACATGTTGTTGCTCACCATAATGATTGAGTAGAGTACTATCATACAATTCAAAATATAGCGTGCTATACAAAAATGTCATGCGATATAAGAAAATTACGACAAACCAAAATAGCATAGCATAGTGTAATTTAGCATTATAGTATACAGAAAGCGTCACCCTCAGGGCCCCATGTATAATATACGGTTATAGAGGTATATAGACACATACAAAGTGTGTATGCACATATCTGCGGAATTATGTATATATATATATATACACATACAGACATATCTACATATATCTATATATATATATAGATAGACTGCATACGCACACAATTGCTGTTTGTCCCACCATCGAACTTAGCCTGGAGGAGCCGTCGGCAGATTCTAAGGCACTTGGACACAGTGCGCCTGAGTGGATGCAGCCTGGACATAGAGTTGTGGCCGGGCTGCCACTACTGCGTTGCAGCATTGGTGCAGGTCCATCCTTTGTAATGGTTTGTCCTGTAGACAACGAAGTCACAGCTGCAGAAAGCCGATCAGTATAGGACCAGGAACATGACCACAAGCTTTGTTGTGAGCGTTGTCTTACCGTGGAACGGCTTTGAGGCTGCAGTTGCTGCGGGAAGCCTTGACTTCAGAGACGACAGCAGCTTGGCTTATCAAGACGAGCCAATTCTCCGCCCCATGTTGGAATCCAACCACATGCTCGGGCATGCTTGTTCATTGTCGAACAGGGGTTATTTTTAAATATGTTTTCATCAATGGTGCTACTGGTTCCTTATTATTTCGCCGGTGCTGTCATCGAAGATCGAACTCACTGCTACAGATGCACCCATCACGCTAGATCCTCAGCAGCTCACGAACTCACAGGGCCCACTCTTGACCCAGTCGCAGGTGCGAAGCTTACACGTGGAGTGGAACCGTATGGAGTTGGCACTGGATGACAAGATCCGTGAGTCATTGAACGAGGCTGCTTGGTATCGCCTTGCTCCAGTGTGCATCAGACCCCCGGGTCCCTGGGGCAGGCACATCACTGGACGGAAATCGATGAGGCCAGCAACTCGTGAGCAACGTCCATGCGGTTGGGGAACTTGTGTACGTGGCAAGGCCGAGAAGAGTTTGTTCCACTCCCGGGCGCAGCGTTCGTTGACGATGTTCCGAGAGGAGCTGGAGTCAAGACAAGGCAGTGTGCTTTGTGTGTTCGCGCATGGGAGCACACTTGTTGTACGAAGAAAGAGGGACGGAGAGGGAGAGGCAGTGGTAGAGAAAGAAACCCAAACAGGACGGCCCCCGAAAGCGGAGGTGGGGGTAATCAGAACCCGGCGGAAGCAAAGACAAGCAAACCCAAAGATAGAAATAAATGACGAACGAATGAAAGCACGAAAGAAGGAAAGCAAAAGACCGTTCGTGATGCTATTTCTTAGGATGATGAGGATACACGATCCGAACCACATAAGCGACAAGAAATGGCTGATAATAGCTAATTTCACGCGTCCTACGTGTGTTGAGCTATCAGCGCAATACTAACAACGATTCGTAGAGGCGGAGCACACAGACACACGACTACCTTCCTAATTTGCCACGATGTCGGCAAGTCTGCTCAGTCTTCACAGGTTCGTGTGTATGAGACTTGCAAAAGAGCGGAGAGCGAAAGACGTGCATTCAACTAGGGCATCGGGTGACGGCGGCCGAGCGTCTGAACCTCTCAGGTGGCGACGTGAAGTTGGCCATCCAGCGGCTGCTCAGCCAAAGGAATTATCGGGAACACGAGTTCAGCAACTGATCAACGCAAATCAACCCATTCTCCCCGCACCAGACGCCGAAGCAGAAGCCGAACCGTTTAGCGAGTCGTGGACAAGGATGGACTATTTTTCTGTCTGCCCTTGGAGCTGAGCATGTGCGACGAGAGAAGGAGGATCATCCTCAGCACAAAGCAGTCCGGCTTGACAGACTGCTCAGGTTAGCGGAACATGCAGTCGCAGGCCATCCGGTGACAGCATCGCTTTGGCCCATGGACATCAACTCCTGGGTGTCCACCTTCTACGATGTTTTTCACATGGACGTCCTGGCCTCCTGGCTGATGTATACTATGTTACTGTGCATTCCACTTGCCGCTTTTGCGAAAACTGTACAATGTACGATACAATGCTCTAGTCTAGTCTACTATAAGAGAACTATACTGCACCATACTATACACGATAGCCGCCTTGACTATAGTGACTATACTGTACCATACTAAACTATACTATACCACACTATGCTCTAATATGTTACTATGATTATCCAGCATACCTTGGCAGGGCTGCAGGCAAGAGCTTATTCTTCAGTATGCTGTTAATCGTTTGCAGGGGGAACCCTCATCGCTAGCGAGAGTTCAACATTATACTGCAGTACGTTATGCTGCACTCGACAGTACGAGGTTGCGATAGTGCCTAAATGGCATCTTCCTCCGAGGATTGTGAGCCTGTGTTTAACATCCTCGATTCTAACTACGGCGACGGCGACGGGTTCGTTCCTCTGGCGAGGCTGCAGGAGACGACCCCCGCCCTTCAGGGTTATCTATGGGTTTGCAATGTAGGGTTCAGGACACAGGGTTCAGGGCTTTCGCTGGTCTCTGGTTCCGGGCTTCAGGCAGTCTGGAGTTTCATGGGGTTTGTGTTTTTTTTTGTGTCCCTCCCGCTTCCTGCATTTAGGATATAGGGTTTTGGCTCTAGAGAGACATCACACGACACGCCCTGCAGCTATTCTGTGCTGCTTGGTGGAAGCCGGCCTTGAGTATCTGGAACTCAATGGTGCGAAGTAGGTCAGACGTTGAAATGCATGTGATAGTCAAGACTCAAGAAAGCAGGAAGAGTGTTTCAGTAAGGGCAGCAGTCGAGTTCCTTTTGTAAATGAAGAGTGAAACACATTAGATGACACAAGAAATGACACAAGGGGCAATCTCCCCTTAGGCTACATTAGGCTACGAGCCCTAAAGATCGACGGTACGGTCGACAGCGAGCACAAAGATGCACAGCAGAACTTCGGCTTGGCTGGTTGGTTTGGTTTGGTTTCTGGTCGGGTTGTCTTCCCCGGTTGGGGCTTCCGGTTCTTCCTGCCTTCGCCTTCTGCCTGCACCTTGGACGCACCAAACCACTGCCCAACCGGCTGCAATCCACCGACCCTCGGTGAACCTCTAACTTAGACTTAGGGCCTCTTTCAAGGAGCCCAAAAGAAGGTGGCACCCTTTTAAACAGGACCCGCAAAAGGACACGAACCTAACGAACTGCTCTTATGATAAGGAAGCAGTCTGGTGTCAAGATTGACGCCATGTCTGGCAGGAGGTGTTGGAGGGACTGCCCACCGATCCGCCAGAGAGTGAAGAAAGGCAAAACCGGGGTCGAAGTTCTAGGGTTTAGGTCGCCTGTGCTGGCAGTCATCAAGTCTGGTTTCAAAAGGTCACAATGTGCTCATGCGGCTGTTGCCGCTTCAATCTGAGGGTCTGATTGCCTCACACACTTTTGCGTCGCTGCCGATTCTTTGCAGCTAGAAGCAAACGAGAAATCTGAGCTTAAACTGCCCTGAGTTGCTAAGTTGTGCTCATAGAAGCTTTCAGTCATGACGCAGTGGCAGCCGGTTTTTTCCAGGCACAACCCCTACTGGGTAGCCGAGTCAGCAGCGATTCCAGTCTATTGCCCGGAAACTGCGTGATAATATATATATATATTATAATACACCGGCGGGTTCTGCACCTAGAGTTAGGGGCCACTTTCCAGAGTGTGCAAAGTCAATCCGAATGCAGGGCAATGTACTTGCGTAAGGCAGAGAAGCCTTCCTGAGCAGTTTCGCAATTTCGTTACTCGGTGTAATGGTGGCAGGTCTTGATCTGGAGTGTGCTCTGTAGCCAGGCTTAGCCAGGTGAGACCTGAGGTATGCGATAGGGCTTGCAAAGGCGTTTCACTGCGTAAAACTCGTTGGAGGCTCCTCCCTCTTGCTCAGTGCCCAGAGTTTCAAGATGAGATCGGCTCCGCCTTTGGGGCCGCTCGGCCGTTTACCCGGCTGATTGGATAGAGCTCCGGG